GATGGATGGATGGATGGATGGATGGATGGATGGATGATGGTTGGATGGATGGATGATGCTATAATAGAAGCAGCCTATAGAGACAGATGTGTCTGATCAGCTAAGGATCAGAGCTAGCATTAGCTGTTAGCTTAGTTAACTCTGTTGTTTAATGGGAGCTCAGACTGATGAAAATAACGCTCTGGGTCAGAGAGGAGAGCAGCACTGAGGGAGCATCGATACGCTGCTGAAATACAGTATCTCTTAGATTAAGCTAATTCTGGGGTCAATAGTTACATAGTACTGCATTAGGTTATTATTCTGCTCTTTATCGGAGCTGAAAAATACAAATTTGAATTCCAATAGTTGTTAGCAGTGTTGCCTAGCGACAGAGAGAAGCTCTGTTTAAACCCAGCATGGAGGAAGGTTCAGGAATGTAGCTTTGTCCTCTGCAGGTGCTCTCCATGAAGAGCCTGAAGAAACAGATGAAGAAGATCAAGAGCATGACGCTGAAGGACATGGTGACCACCCTGGTGTCCTTCTACTGGTCAGTGCTACTCGCTCTGCTCCACGTGGCCTTCAGCGTGGCTCGGGGGTTCTGCAGAATCTTCTACAACACCTTCATGGGAGGAAGTCTGGTGGAAGGAGCCAAGGCCGTCAAGGTTCTTCATTTACACGCGTTACTAAAAGGGCTTTGGGATGAGTTGTTCTTACATGTCCTCCATTCGCAGGTGTCTGAGCTGCTGGCCACCATGCCTGACCCCACCCAGGATGAGGCGCGTGGCGAAGGAGATGACAGAGAAAAGAGGCCGACGGACCGCAGCTCCCAGAGGGAAGATCTCACCGATCTGGCGATCAACACCAGTGAAACCGAGCTGCTGTCAGACATCTTTGGTCTGGACCTGCGGCGAGAAGGAGGACAGTACAAGATCACCCCACACAACCCCAACGCCACCCTCACAGAGCTCCTCAACTCCCCGCTTCCCGCCTCGGTTTCACCCGCCGCCCCCCAGCCGGAGCTCAGACAGAGACGTCAGGTAAATAGAGCTGCGTTTAGTTCACGTTCACCTCTAGTCCGACTCTACTGGCTCCGTGGCGATGAAACAACTTCCAGAACCAGCTCTGGATGAAGAAAAACGTCATCATGTCAGGATAGAAGGTCTGCTTCGTTCATTTAGGACATCCGCTTATTCATTACGACCTTCTTCCTCAGCTGGTTGGAGGGAATCTTCTTTCTTTATTTTTGCAAACAGAGATCAAATGAAAAAGCATTTGGATTGGACGGGAACTTAAAGGGATAAACAGGTATTGACTATGGGTATGCTAATCTGACGGAACACCGGAAGCACGATCCGTACCATCAGCTCATTTCCACATGTACAAGACATATTCATCCAAGTTGTTATAAATAATGTAATTATGGTACTAAAAGTACTTATTTCTATGCTTAAATCCCTAAAGAATGCTAATACACATCTTTATTTATTTTTTTATTACTTTTCTGACAATTTGATGCTTTTTCCATTTTCTTCATTAAACAGCTTCTCTGACGTCATCATGGGTCATGCTCCGAGCAGTAAATATTCTGTTTAAACCATGTTTATCTGCATTTTAGTTGTTTCTTTCTCTAGATTACGCACTATATAAGATCATTTTAAAATGAAAGGAAAAAATAAAACTCAAAAAGAGTAGTTTTATGTTTAAATCCAAAGCTGATGAAGTTAGCTCCTGGAAGTAACGTAGCATCCAATTTCTTGTACAGATCAGAACCAGAGGGATAAAACAGAAAGGATTTAAATGCATTTATTTTCTCAGGAAATAAATTAACCTTTAAAGCATTATAGTTTAGCACGCCTAATATTTATGGGGAGGGAAAAGGGAATTTAGGTTTTTTTCCCCAACATAAAATGGAGGGCGACCAGGATGGATATCTGGTTGCACAGATGAGCTGATGGCGCGGATCGGGTAGTGACAGTGGCCACAGAGGGGTCAGTGATTGGCTGTTACCACACTTAGCTCTGCCCCCTGCTCTGTTTCTGCCCATAGAAAAGGTGCCAAGACCCAGAACCAGTTTTTGTAATGATTTTACAAAGTTCAGACCCAAAATGCAGAAAAGAGAGACCAGGGAAAAGGTTTAACGTGTTTTATTGAAGAGGTAAAACAGAGGGAGAAGTGTTGCTCTGAACACTCCTCAACCACAACTGAAAAGTGAGGGGAAGACACAGCGGTTAGTTCAGGCTCAGTGGGGAATTTGACTCGTGAACTTGGAGAAGAGGATTTGGTTGCCGACTCACGTTTCCAGAGAAGTAGTTGAATCCTTGACTCCTGTCTTTCTGCCGTGGTTCCAGTGTTTGTCTGATTTGGTGGAAGGCGGAACAGGGTTTACCCAGAATGCGGTTGTTAGTTGGTGAACGGAGAAACTGACTGCCACTCAGATTTCCTGCGGTACTTGAACCGGTCATAGTGGAGAATAATCCCTTTCTCAGTGTGAAGCTCAAACGATCTCTTGGGGAAAGTGGATCCAAACCTCCTGTTTGAATCCCAGCTCAGTTTGAAGCTCAGTTGGTCCTTCCAGGGAGAGAAGGTCCAAGAAATCCAGTTTGTAGGATGACTTCCTGCCAAGAGGCAAAGACAAAAACAAAGTTAAACTCAGGTTGACAAAAACCCAGGTTAGACTCTGCTAAAGTGAGCATGGCTAGAGTACCCAAAACTGGCAAACACTCTGGCGTGGAAGTAGTGGCAGTCAGCAGCTTAAGAACACTGTCTAAAGAGGAAACCATCAGCAGGTGTGTGAGGAGGCGGACCAGAACCAGGTGCCTCCTGGTGGATGAAGGGAGACAAACACAGAAACACAAACACAAAGACAGGAGTCCTGACACTTTAGATTTTTATTTTTAAAAATCATGATTCAAAATTTTCATTGTTGTTTTAGTTGTTGTTGGATTGACTCATAAAATTTAAATTTGTTTGTTTAAAATTGATATGTGGAATTTATTTTGAGATAACCAATTTAGGTTCTGCTGAGTAAGAACAGAAAGCCACCAGATGATTTTTTTCTTTTTTTTTAGTCGAAGAGTTGTCCTTCAGAAACAAACGAGGAAATACCAGAAGCTGAATCTGAACCTGAAAAACCCCCTGAGTGAGTTCTCTAAAAACAGCTTTATTTTATGCAAAAAAAAAAGTGATGATGAAGAAATCTAAAAGCTTTGAGGAATCATTAACTGTTTCCCAATTTTAGACAGGGTCACTCTGTGAAGCAGGACAAACAATCAAAGAACGAGAAGATAAAACCAAAAGTGAGAAGGCATCACAACTCCAAGTCTGATGAACCGGATCTGCAGGAGTCGGCCTTCCTGAAGAAGATCCTGGCCTACCAGAGGAAGCTGCTGGTACCTTTCCTGCTCAGTGTGTTCAGATTAACGCATCATGACTCACCTGGACACTTAAAAGGTTTTATTCAGTCACATATCTGAGGCTGAATGAGACAAACTGACCTCATCTCCCTGTTTTCTCTATAGAACTACTTTGCCAGAAACTTCTACAACATGAGGATGCTGGCTCTGTTTGTTGCATTTGCAATCAACTTTATTCTCCTCTTCTATAAGGTAACACAGCAGGGGTTTAAATGTTAAACCTCATGAACAGCAATAGATTGTGTTTGTTAGGGTTAATGATAATAACCCCTTATTGTCCTAAAAATAAACCAACAAGATATAAGTTACTTTTCTGCAGAAGAGGAGAGTGGACCCAGGCAGGGAATTTTCACTCCCTGAATGTCTGTGGTCATCTCTGCTGGGACCTTTCTGTCCTCTGCCTTTATCATCAAACTTCAAAGGAGTAAGGGGGGTGCAGGTTTATTGCATAGCTGGAGAAACATTGGCTCTTCCCGTTTGAAGTCAAAATAACTTTCCTAGCAGGCCAAATGCCTGTAACTTAGTACAAATAAAATGATTCTAACAGTGTTGACCATGGGCGGTTCTAGATGGGGGCCAAACGGGGCCAGTAGAATATTCCGGTTTTTACCTTTACACACGGAGAGGTGTGGCTCAGGAAATCTGAATCTGGGTTCAGTGTTTGCTTCTGTCCTTGTTGCTTTTTTTCGACGCTTCCTAAAAGCAGAAAACAATTTCATGTTTGCCTTCAGGTTTCTACCTCTTCATCTATGGTGGAGGAGAAGGAAGCTGTTTTCACCAACAGCCAATCAGACGGCAGCGTCCAGTGGGATCCGCTGGTCGGAGAGACTCTGGAGTCCGGGGACGGGGGGGCGGAGGAGCCCGGGGAGCCCCTGAAACCCGTCTCAGTCCGCTTTGTTCTGGAGGAGAGCAGCGGGTACATGGAGCCCATGTTACGCATCCTGGCCGTTCTCCATACCGTCATCTCCTTCTTCTGCATCATCGGCTACTACTGCCTGAAGGTCCGACCGACGGCGGTTCTGTTCTCCTTTTATCCGTAGAGTTTCTCCTTTGTCCCATTTTTCTCTGCGGCGCAGCGGTGTCGGATTTCTTTACTGTGTGTTTCCGGCTCATCCAGGTTCCTCTGGTGATCTTCAAACGGGAAAAGGAAGTGGCCAGGAAGCTGGAGTTCGATGGTCTTTACATCACGGAGCAACCATCGGAGGATGACATCAAAGGGCAGTGGGACAGGCTGGTGATAAACACGCAGTGAGTGGATCAGAATCCAAGCTTTGTTCAGATCTCACGCTTCTCTTCACTTCCATGATGGAGCTGTTTTCCTTTCAGGTCCTTCCCCAACAACTACTGGGATAAGTTTGTGAAGAGGAAGGTAGGCAGAGGTTTCCACAGTGGAGCCGTGAAGCTGAATGTGGTCCCAGTTTCCCACGCAGTCTTTATGTTGTTCAGGTGATGGATAAATACGGGGAGTTTTACGGCCACGACCGCATCAGCGAGCTGCTGGGCCTGGACAAGGCTGCCCTGGATTTCAGCGACGCTCACAAGAAGAGGAAGCCGAGGAAAGACGGGTCGCTGGCGGCAGTGTGAGTAGACCATGTTTAGCTCTGAGGGAAATGGTTTCTGCTTTTAAAGGAAAAGTCCGGTCAGCCGGGAATAATCTATGGATCATTATTTATCCCTAAAACTAACATGTTCTCAGTGATTTAATGAATTTAGTGTTTATCAGTAAAAAAA